TGTCAGCCCAAACCTGGATTTGTCCAGATCTTGCAGCATTTAAACATGGTTCGGACCTGAAACGTCAACTTTCCTGCTCCTCTGATGCTGCCTGGCCTGCTTGCTTCTCCAGCTCCACACGGTGTTGTCTCTGGATAAGATCAGGTTGTTTTCTTTGAGCAGAGAAGGTTGAAGGAGGATCTGACAGACGTCTATAACGTTATGCGGGACATGGACAGGATGGATAGAAAGCAGTTGTTCCTCTTAATCAAAGGCTCAATAACAAGGGGGCATAATTATAAAGTGAAAGGCAGGAAGCTTAGTGGGCATTTGAGGAAAATATGTTTCACCCAGGGGGTGGTGGGGGCCTGGAATGCACTGCCTGGGAAAATAATTAAGACAGGTAACCTCATAACCTTTAAAAAGTACTTGGATGAGCACTTAAAATATCATTCAAGGGCACGGGCCAAGTACTGGAAAGTGGGACTAGTGCAGATTTAGTGTTTGGCAGTACAGAGTTGATAGGCTGAAGGGCCTCTTCCGTTCTGTATGATTCTATCATTCTATGAACTGAAACCCTTTACCCAGGCATCATCCTGGTAAATCTCCTCTGCACCCTCTTCAGTGCTATCACATCCCTCCAATAATGTGGAATCCAGAACTGCACACAATACACTAGCTGTGGACTAACCAGCATATTGCACAGATCCAGAATACCATTGCAGCTCTTAAATGCTATGCCTCAACTAATAAAAGTAAATATCCTATATGCCTTCTTAACTACGTCATCCACCTTATACCTTAAGGCACTGATGGACATGTACATCAAGTCTGTATTAAGGTCTCAATTTATACCAATGTGGTGGGAAAAGGCAGGATGTCTAAATTTGCAGATGACACTGTTATGGTCCCAGCTTATGTTATTACTGAACAAGTCAGATCCCAGAAAGAAATCTAATTTGATAGATTTTTTTTTGCTTTCATCGAAACATTAGTAGGCAAAGTTATGAATTTGATTTTAACAATAAAGCAGAATCTTATTTCAAAAACAAAAAGATCTACACATAAGGCCATTTAAGAGATTTTGAAACATGGTGAATCAAAACCCCATCTACTCCCCAGCATCAGCACTTTATAACGACTGAAAAATCCAGAGAGATTTCCCTTTCAGAACAATTGGCTTCTCAGTCCAAGACTCTGAGCTGTGACGCCTTTTCTCTTTGACTTCTCATGCAACTGAAAGCTGATATTTTCTCAGCTTTGAATAAACCTTGTAGGTTTCTAATTAAATACTCCTGGGAATTTTATAAACTAACCACTTTATTGATTAACTTATTTCCCCTAACTTCTCTGAATGATCAATCTTTTTTATCTGGGAGAAACTATATTTGCATGTAACTTCAGTCAGATCTCCTACAAACTGCCCAGAATCATTTCAATCTCTGGGTTTTTCGAAGTAAAGTCAGTCCTTGATTATTCTAAACCCAGAAACAAGCCAATGCCTTTCAATGTTTTCTCTCTTCTGTCATAAACACTAATAATATCCTAGACGAGCCCTTGTTATCTGGACGGTTCGGTAACACAGTGGTTAACACTGCTGTCTCACACCAGCAGGTTTCAATTCCGTCCTCAGGCTATTGTCTATGTGGACTTTTCAATTCTCTCCATGTCTGCATGAGTTTCCTCCGGGTGCTCTGGTTTCCTCCCACAGTCAAAAAATGTGCAATCTAGGTAGTAGACTGCCGATGCTGGAGAATCTGAGATAACAAGGTGTGCAGCTGGACGAACACAGCAGACCAAGCAGCATCAGAAGAGCAGGAAAGCTGATGTTTTGGGTCTGGACCCTTCTTCAGAAATTCAGAAACGTCAGTATTCCTGCTCCTCTGATGCTGCTTGGCCTGCTGTGTTCATCCAGCTCTACACCTTGTTATCCATGGGAAATGCACGGTTACAGGCATAGGAAAGGGGGATAGGTCTGGGTGGGATGCTCTTCAGAGGGTCAGTGTGGACTCAATGGGCCAAATGGTCTCTTTCCACACTGTAGGGATTAAAAAAAAAACAAATTTCCATTAACACTCTGGGAGGTCTGTAGTCACCTCTCGTCAACACAAACTGGTTTAAAGTAATGTTTCCAGAAAGATTGACCTAGTTTTTAAACCACTTCACAAAAATAGACCAACTCCCATATGCCACAAATATAAAACCCAAACTCTTTTAAAAAATTAAGATACATCAATTACATACCTTTCATCACAACACAAAGATAGGTAGGAAAGTGTGTTGGGAAGATGACATAACAGAGATGCAGACCAATTTAAATTGATTGACCAAGCAGGCAGAATCTGGCAGGCAGACTATAATGTAGGAAATGTGAAGTTGTTCATTTTGGCAGGAAGAGTAAAAAAAATGCAGAGTATTACCTAGTGAAGAACAGTTGAAGAATTGTGAGGTGCTGAAGGATTTAGCATTACAGCAAGTAGTAAAGAAGGCAAATGGGATGCTACCTTTTACTGTGAGATAAATTGAACACAAATGTGAGGATGTTACGTTTCTGTTACACAGGGCACTGGTGAGACCACATCTAGAATACTGTGTGCAGCATTGATCTTCTTATTTAAGGAAATGTAAGCACTACACATATTTTATTCAGAAATATAAACCAGAAATTTGAAGTTTTGAATCATTACTTACGTTTATTTACGCTCAAAGTAAAAATGGAACTGGGAGACTTCTTTTACTGGAAGTAGGTTTGGTACTTTTGTGAGACACCCAGGTAAAGGAACTGCTTAGCAACAGAGTTTGGATTGATTGTAAGTGACAGTTTATCACAGCATTGAACAGAGAGAGCATTAGACTTACAACTCTGCCAGCAAGCAAAATTGCTGTCTCTCTCTTTCTTACTGCATGTGGATAAAATAACAGTCAAGCACTTTGAAGAAAGAAAGAACTAGTAATTCCTCCAAGTCCTAGGTTCAACTGACCAGCTGCTCAATCAGTGGATTGCCACAGTCAACAATAGCATGATATCAGTGTCAAAAACTAAATCAAATCGTGAAAAGCTTACCTCCTGTTACCCCCTTTGGTTTCAGCACATACTTTGTGCCTTTTGCCTATATTTCTGATCCACAATCTTCCTGGTTATTTTATGAGATTGGACAGACTGAGCTTGTTTCTCCTGGAGTTCAGAAGAGTGAGAGTTGGCTTGATTGAAGTGTATAAGATCCTGAATGGTCATGACAAGGTGGACATGGGAAAGTAGTTTCCTCTTGCGTGAGAATCCAGAACCTTCTGTTTTAAAATTAGGGGTCACTCTTTCAGGACAGAGATGAGGAGAAACTTCCATTAACGCTTCGGGAGGTCTGTTTCTCTCTCAGACGGTTCTGTGACTTTGGCAGTCTCTGCCTCAGGAGTTTGTGGATGTGGAGAAAATGAATATTTTTAAGGCAGAGGTGGATAGATTCATGTTAGGCAGGGGATTCAAGGGTTATCAGGAAGAAGATGGGAATGTAAACACAAACAGATCAGCCATGGTCTTTTTGAATGGCAGAGCAGACTTGAGGGGCTGAATGGTCTCCTCTTGCTCCAAACGCATTGTTCATTTGGACCTTGATCTGAATCATAGAATCATGGTTACAGCACAAAGGGAGGCCATTAGGCCTATTGCACCCTTGCTGGCTTGGACTCCTTCTCTCCCATGGTCCTGAGAATTATTAATCTTTAGATCATGATCCAACCCTCTTTTGATGGTCTTGAGTGAAACTGTCTCAGTCAGCGAGCGCTGTGTAGGCAGTTTAACTCAAGACCATCAAAAGACAGTTGGTTCATGATCTAAAGATTAATAATTCTCAGGGCCATGGGAGAGCGCTCGCTGACTGAGAATGTGTCACTACTGCTTCTTTTACCCAGCCCCTTCAATCTGTGTTCCTCTCATTTTTTTTAGAATCCCTACAGTGTGGAAACAGGCCCTTCAGCCTAATAAGTTCACACCGCCCCTCAGAACATCCCACTCAGACCCATCCCACTATAACCCACCTAATCTACCCATCCCTGAACACTATGGGCAATTTAGCATGGCCAATCCACCTAAACTGCACATCTTTGGACTGTAAGAGGTTCATTCTTGATCCTCCCCAGAATGGGAACAGTGCCTTCCTCTCAACTCTGTCCAGACCCCTCCTGATGTTGAATCCCTTGATCAAATCTCCTATCAACCTCCTCACCTCCAATAAAATCAGACCCAGCCTCTCCAAACTATCCTTGTCACTGAAGCTCCTCATCCCTACAACCTTTCTCCTGAACCTTTCAGCACCCTCTCTGATACCTGCATATCCATCTGACTTTGTGGATCCAAGGACTGGCTGCACTAATAAGTTGGACTAGTAACCCTGTGGCCTAGGATAATGTTCTAAGGACGTGGATTCAAATCCCACCACAGCAGCTGGAATATAAAGTCAGTTTCAGGGATCATAACAGTAACAACCATCATCAATTGTTGTAAAAACCCATCAGGCTCTTTAGGGAAGAAAATCTGCTGTCCTTACCCAATCTGGGCCTACATGTGACTCCAGAATCTGCCCTTTGAAATGGCCAAGTTGTTCTGAATAAGAGGGGCTGAGTGGCCTGTCGTTGTTCCCATTGAGAGGGGCTTATAAGAGGGACTGACTGGCCTTTGCTGATCCTATAACAGGGGCTTAGAGGCCCGCTTGGATTCCTACAAGAGGGGCCGAATGGTCTGCTGCTAACTAGCCCAGCGCCTGCTCTGAGCGCTGAAGCAGTGCCCGGGAGTAGGCGGCTCCATCAATGAAATGAAGTGAATGAATGGAGCCCGGGACCACATCACACATTGATACTCGGTCTCCAAGGCGACGGGCCGCGACTGAGTGACAGCCGCCGGGTCCTGCAACCCGCCGCCTCCCTCTCTCTCTCCCCGAGGAGGAGGAAGGAGGAGGCGTGGTGAGAGATCTCTGCATCCACACAGGGCTCCGTATTCCCGCCCACTCAACAAGCCGGGGTGAGGTTTCCCAAAGCCGATGTGCCGGCACTCGGGTGTGTGCCTCGGCTGGCATTAGCACAAGGGCTAATGGAGTTCCTGCTTGCCGGAGTAGCTGCCTGTGGAGCGTGCCTCTTCACCAACCCTCTGGAGGTGGTTAAGACTCGGATGCAGCTCCAAGGCGAGTTGCAGCGCCGGGGCTCCTACCAGCTGCACTACCGCAACGTCTTCCACGCCACCTACACCATCTGGAAGGTGGACGGATGGCCGGCGCTGCAGAAAGGACTCCTGCCCGCGCTCGTCTACCAGTTCTGCATGAATGGTATCCGCCTGGGCACCTACTCCATCATTGAGGACTCAGGCTACACTTCCACCAGGGATGGCAGGATCAGCGGGCTCAGGAGTACCGTGTCAGGGGCACTGGCAGGGGTCACAGGGGCAATCTTGTCCAGTCCCATCTACCTGGTGAGTCTAATGTCTGATGGGGGGGTGGGGCGGTTTCCTGACCCATTGTTAGTCCCCCCAACCCAATCCTTGCCTGCCTCCATCGTTGGTCCCTACATGCACTTGGTTGTCTTATGAGGAGAAATGCCTTCACCCTGCAGCCTGTGGGATTCTTTTTGCTGCACAGAGTGGTCAAGGCCAAAACGTTGAGTGCTCACAAGAAGGAATTAGACATAATTTCTTAACGGCTAAAGCTTTCAAAGGGTATGGGGAGAATGTGGGAACAGTCTAAAGATGTGCAGGCTAGGTGGATTGGCCATGCTAAATTTCCCATAGTGTTCAGGGATGTGTAGATTAGGTGGGTTATACGGGGATGGGTCTGGGTGGGATGCTCTGAGTGTCGGTGTGGACTTGTTGGGCCGAAGGGCCTGTTTCCACACTGTAGGGATTCTACGATCTATGATCTATGATCTAGGGGACTGAGTCAGATGAGCAGCCACCAACAGGATTGAGTGACAGACCAGGTATGAAGGGAGGTGTTTAGCACGCTTGCCTTCATTGCTCAGACCATTGAGTATAGGAGTTGGTACATCATGTTAAGGTGGCACAAGACGTTGGCAAGGCCACTTTTAGAGTACTGTGTACAGTTCTGGTCGCCCTGCTATAGGAAGTATATTATTGGAGAGGGTTCAGAAAAGATTTACCAGGATGTTGCCAGGACTGGAGGGTTTGAGTTATAAGGAGAGGTTGGATAGGCTGGGACTTTTTTCACTGGAGTGTAGGAGGTTGAGGTGTGACATTATGAAGGTTTATAAAATCATCACAGGCGTATAAGGTGAATAGCAAAGGTCTTCTCTCTTCGGTGGGGGAAGTTCAAAACTCAGGGCCATATTTTTAAAGTGAAAGGAAAAAGATTTAAAAGGGACCTGAGAAGCAACTTTTTCACACAGAGGGTAGTTCGCATGTGGGAATGAACTGCCAGAAGTTACGACATTTAAAAGACATTTGCACAGATACATGAACAGGAAAGGTTTGGAGGGATATGAGCCAAATATAGGCAAGTGGGTCTGGTTTAGTTTGGGAAACTTGGTTGGCATGAATGAGTTGGACTGAATGGTCTGTTTCCATGCTATATGACTCTATGGTGGCACAGTTCTGCTGCTATTTTCTGTGTTTCTATGTTTTCTTGGATACCAACTGAGTACGCTGTGTGCCAATGAGAGACAGACCTCTTTCTTTCCTCCTGCCCCACCATCTGGATTCTGAAGCTCCTGGGGTTCGAACACTGATTCAGGTCCTCCAGCCAAAGTTCACCCATCCTCAGTGCAGTTTCGAGGAAGTGGAACGGGGCCATGGCAACTATCTTCTGGACAAATCATTAATGCCCCTTAGACAGCACCTTCCAAACCCACAATCACTGCCATCTAGAAAGACAAGGGCAGCAGATACACGGGGACACCATCATCTGCAAGTTCCGTTCCAAGTCACTCGCTATCCTGACTTGGAAATATATCGCTGTACCTTCAGTGTCGCTGGGTCAAAATCCTGAAATTCCCTCCCTAATGGCATTGTGGTCCTACCTACAGCACATGAGCTGCAGCAGTTCAAGAAGGCAGCTCACCACCACTTTCTCAAGGGGCAACTAGGGGCAGCGATAAATACTGGTTCAGCCAGTGAGGCCCACATCCTGTGAATGAACTTTAAAAAATGTAAAAGGTTGGGATTAGTGCATTGGCAGTTCTCAATCAGTCCTGACAGCTCCATATCCTGGCAGTAGCTGGAATTCACGATATGGACTGATCCCCTCTCACACATCATCGTGCTTTTAACAGCTTCAGTTATGAATTTAGTTTACGGCAGACCTTTTGCATTTGGTTGAAGTTTTGTAGTGTATCTTTGCTGTAAGTCTTTGTATTAACTGACTGCTTTGGCCAAGAAGCAGATGTTAATTGCCATTGAATAATGCTGTTTGTGTACCAAAATATGTACTTTATTTTCCAATGTATTTATAAAAGACTCGAGAGCTGTGTGTATCTAAGTTCGCTGATGACACTAAGTTAGTTTGGAACAGGGGTTAATGTAGACAACAGCAGCCAAGTTACAAAAAAAGACCTTAGGATATCTAACAGAGTGAACAAAATCCGTTTTCTTTTTCCAAAAAGCTGGTGAGCAAACGTGGGGAAAGTTTGGATGAGCTGGGTCTGTATCCATTGGGATTTAGAAGGCTGAGAGGTGATCTTATTGAAATGTTATGATGCTGCGGGAACTGGACAGAATGAATGATGAGAGGATGTTTTGCCCTTTTGGGAGATCCCAGAAGATCACAGTTTAAAAATAAGGAATCTCCCAAATAGCTGACTCCTGATTCTAGCGTGCATGTTTGTAACAACTGGTTTGAAAGACTACTGGGATATTGTTATGACAGAGTCTAAATGGAAAACCGTTTAATACTATAAGGCCACCTTGAGCCTGCACCACCAATCAAGAGGATCATGGTTGATCTGACACTCCTCACGTCCACTTTCCTGCCTTTTCCCCGACTGATCAAGAATCTATCCATTTCAGCCTTAAACATACACAAGCAGTCTGCCCCCTCAGCTCTCTGTGGCAAGGAGTTCCAAAGACTCTCAACCCTCAAAGAGAAGAAATTCCTCCTTATCTCATTCTGAGACTATGTTTGTGCAGACAAAGAATGGGCAGACTTAGATTTTTGATTAAATTAACTGAAACCACCAGGCGGGCTGGGTGTTAGAGGGGAGGAGATGGGGTGGCACAAAATGCCTGAGGTATAAGAGGGTATAAATCAGCCTGGGATCTTCCCGTTGCTTCCTCACCCTTGATCAGAAACATGAGCCAGGTACCAGCAGAGTAAGGTTGACTGCGATGCACGTTATTGCTGTTTTGCCTGTCCTACCACAGTATTCCATCCCCTCCCAAACACACACATACTTACACCTAAATGATTAGAATTAAGAACAGTACAGCACAGGAACAGTCCACGATGTTATACCGAACATGATACTATATGAAACTAATCCCTTTTACCTGCCTTTGGTCCATATCCCGCCAAACCTTTCATATTCATGTGCTTATCTAAAAGTCCCTTAAATGCCCCTATTGTATCTGCCTTCACCAACACCCCGGCAGCGCGTTCCAGACTCCTACCACTCTGTTAAAAAAAACTTACCTCTCACGTCTCCTTTGAACTTTCCCCCTCTCACCTTAAATGCATGCCCCCTAGTATTAAGACATTTCAACTCTGGGAAAAGGATTCTGACCATCAACGCTATCTACGCATCTCATAATTTTATAGACTTCTATCAAGTCTCCCCTCAGCCTCCGCCACTCCAGAGAAAACAACCCTTGTTTTTCTAGCCTCTCCTTAGAGCTCATACCCTCTAGTCCAGGCAGCATCCAGGTAAACCTCTTCTGCACCCTCTTTAAAGCCTCCACATCCTTCCTGTAATGTGGCGACCAGAACTGAATGCAATATTCCAAGTGTGGCTTAACCAAAATCTTATAAAATTGCAACATGACATCCTGACTCTTGTGCTCAAATTCCCAATCAATAAAGGCAAGCATGCCATACACCTTCTTTAACACCTGATCTACTTGCATGGCCACTTTCAGAGAGCTATGATCTTGAACCCCAAAATCAAAGCTGTTCAGGGCCCTGCCATTAACTATATACTTTTCCTTAACATTTGATCTTCCAAAGTGCAGCACCTCACACTTACCTAGATTAAACTTCATCTGCCATTTCTCCACCCAGATTTATATCCCTACGTATTATAGAACAGTAACTCCAACACAGTTATGTTTTTCTTTCCAACACAGTTATTAGCAGGTGACAGGCTCTTGTTGGACTGTTCCAGGTGAGAACCTACATTAAAGGGGAAGGGAAGTGGCTGTGTGTTGGGTGGTATAATTATTATCCTCCAATTTTCTAAAACATATTTCTTTTAAAGGTGAAGACACATCTCCAGGCACAATCCACCTCTACTATAGCTGTTGGTCACCAGTATAAACATGAGGTGAGTTCAAATTCGTTTATGCAGTCAGGAACACCAACTTCTGTAAGGGTGTGCAAAAAAATTTGAGAAATTTAAGTAGCTGGGAACAGAGCAGAATTGAATCGTACAAAGCTCTTCAAACCTATTTTTAAAAAAATGTATTGTTTCAAGGGGTGTGGCATTGCTTGCAAAGGCAGCATTTAGTAATTATCCCTAATTGCCCAAAGGTAATAGACAACCACATTGCTGTGAGTAGGAGAAGGAAAGGATGTCAGATTTCCTTCTCTAAAGGATATCAGTGACCCCGACTGGATTTTACAACAGTCAGCCCATAGTCTCCCTTAGACCTCTGACAAAGAGTCGCTGGACTTGAAATGTTGACTTGGTTTTTCTGTCTCTGTGGAGGATGCCAGCCCTGCCAGGTTTCTCCAGCACTTTCTGTTTTTGTCTAGATTAGACTTGCTTCTCAATTTCAGACTTTTTTAAAATCAAATTCTACTGGTAGGTTTAAAGCCCATGTCCTCACAACACTTGCGTGGGGTTCTGGATTATAGCCCAATGACACTACCGCTATGTCACCCCATTGTGAAACAGTGCTCCAGTTGCACTCCCCAATACCCCACCCCCCGGATATCTTTCACTTGTCTTCCCTGAAATGTCCAGCTGAATGCTCTGGTGTAAAATTCTGACATCTAGATGCAGTGGTTTGATTCACACAAAATAAAATCTGGAATTAAGAGTCCAATGATGATCATGAATCCATTGTTGATATTTGGAAAAACCCATCTGGTTCATTTATAGATAACACAGTGTAGAGCTGGATGAACACAGCAGGCCAGGCAGCATCAGAGGAGCAGGAAAGTTGACGTTTTGGGTCGGGATTGTCCTGACCTGAACAGTCCCAACCCAAAACGCCAACTTTCCTGCTCCTCTAATGCTGCCTGACCTACTGTGTTCCTCCAGCTCCACACTGTGTTATCTCTGACTCCAGCATCAGCAGTTCTTACTATCTCTGGTTCCCTTATGTCCTTCGGGAAGGAATCTGCTGTCCTTACCTGGTCTGGCCTACATGTGACTCCAGACCCACAGCAATGTAGTTGTCTCTTAACTGCCCTCTGGGCAATTAGGGATGGGCCTTGCTAGCAATGCCCTCATCCTGTGAATGAATAAAGAACACATACAGGGATCCAACCCTGAATAGTCTGAGTGCTTCCCCACCGAGATTCAGAATGAGCACAGTTTATAGCTGTTTTATTATTAGTGACAATTAGCAGCATTAGGCTTAGGCCACAGTACAATGATCTCCGGTGGGCTGCTAATTGGTTTGTGTACAATTATAATTTGGTAATTGCATTGCAGAGACTTGGTCTCATTTTTCCAGAGACAGCAAAGAATGGGTATGTATTTTTGGGGGAAAGGTTTACGGCAGTGAATGGATATTTGGAGCCATCTGGCTGTGTGAAATTTCTTACTGATGTTATCCTGTGATCCTGTGTTGTTGTTCGTACAATGGGAATGCCTGAGATTACTGACTCCACACACCCACCTACACACCCACAGACACAGAGCCACACCCACACACACTTACCCAGCCACACACATACCGTCACAAGCACATGTGCGCGCGCACACACACACACACAACCAGACACACACACTCCACAACACGCACACACACACAACCAGACACACACATGCACACGCACACACACACTCCACCACATGCACAGACACACTCCCAGACACACACACGCACACGCACACACAATCCACCACATGCACTCACACACAATCCACCACATACACAGACACACACCCACACACGCACTCCACCACGCGCGCACACAATCCACCACATGCACAGACACACACATGCACACGCACACACAATCCACCACATGCACTCACATACACACATACACACACACTCCACCACACGCCCACACAATCCACCACATACACAGACACACACCCAGACACACCCACACACACTCCACCACACGCGCAGAGAATCCACCACACCTACCCACCCTCACACACCCCTCACACACATGTACTCACCCTCATACCTCTCACACACACACACACACACACACACACACACACACACCTCCTCTGTCCATTTGTTTAGAATGCAGGGTATAGCGAGTTTGAATTAATGTCCATTTGGTGTTTTGCAGACTTTTAGCTGAGCTCTTTGCATAATTCGAGCTCCCTTGGTAAGGCTGTGGTTGTCTTTGTATGTTTCAGCACTCGAGTTGCTGATCCTAACTGGCACATTTAAAGTCAAACTCAGCAGGTCTGGCAGCATCTATGCAAAGAAAGCAGAGTTAATATTTCAGGTCCAGTGATTCTTCCTCGGAAATTCTCCAGTTTGACCCATTTTAACCCGGCTCCTACTCAACAAGTGAACATCAGATCACTGCTAAATGTTGTACAGGCAGGCATGGGATAAAAAGAATGTTGTTCAGAAAGTGTAGAGGGAGCTTTACTCTGTATGTAACTCTGTGCTGTCCCTGTCCTGGGAGTGTCTGATGGGGAAGTATAGAGCGAGCTTTACTCTGTATCTAACCCCGAACTGTCCCTGCCCTGGCAGTGATTTTTTTTCACATTTAAAGCCAAATCCGGCAGCTTCAGCTGCAGTGGCTGGGACAGTGTGTGGTTTGCCTTCACTGAGATTTGAACTCAGATCGCTGGATTCAAAGTCCTGAGTCATCCTGTGGAACATTCTATCAATCAGTTGATTGAAACTGCTTTGTCATTCATCTGCCCAGACAGGTTCCATCACCACTGCGAATGTTGAAGGTTACAACTGGTCCAGTGCTTCATTTGGAGAGCAAGAGTGGGGAGGGGGGAATAGTGTGGATGGAGAGAGTCTCCAGACTCCCCCCTCCCCTTCGTGTGAGAAGCTGTTCCCTGATGTCACCCCTCAGTAGCCTGGCTCAGATTTGCAGATCTTATTGCCCCATTGTACTGGACTGCAATACCCCACCCACACCACTTCCTCTGTCAGAAGTACATTCTTCTGGCTCTGCCTCATCCTTGAGTGACACAATCTGTTACCCTTCTTGACGCAAACTCGCTCTGTGTAACTTGACTCGGGATATAACCCTTTCAGCCCTGGGGGTCATTCCAAGGAATCTGTGTTACTCTGAGATAGTCTCAGAAACCCCTCCCGAGGAGCAGATCCTGGGCTTGGACCCCAGCTGGAGTGCATTAGACACAGACCAGTGCATTAGATACAACGTAGCCCATTTGTTTGTATACCAATTGTATTGCAACAGCAGCCCACATCCCCTTAGCCTTCCCAAGTATTCTTTTTGTCTCCATTCACCTTGTGATTGCTATACATGGGGCCCAGAATGATCACCACTCAGCACAATCAACCAGTGCTCCTTTCCAGCTTCCTGTTTCACTACTACCATACCCTACCTCCGACTGTGTTGTCAGCAAACTCCATCTATACTTCCCATTGCCCCAGGAAAACAGCCAACATAATCAAAGGCCCCTCCCAGGGTGGGAAGGGCCTTTGAT